ATTTCCATTTTAGATATTGAGAAAAAAGGTTATCTATCAAAGACTGATGTGCAAACCTTTTACGTATGCTCAAAAAATAAAATAACAAAAGAGCACGCAAAGTAGGAACTGTACTAGGGAGCTAGCGGTTTCAATATGTTGTGTAACCCCCATGTTGTACCGCGTCCATCACTATTTTCTTTGCACTTTTTTTTCTTTTGCAGATTTGAACTTTCTATGAGGCCGAATGGCCGACATATATTTTTTCATACTATTTCTTCAGTGGAATATCAAAAGTAGCAGCCAAAATGAAATGTGATACCACTATTGTATATGAACGTTGTGGGGATTTAACTTGACATGGTCTTAAACATTACACTCCCATTCATCCATTGCCAATGCATTTTACAATGAATGTCAACAACTACAAAATCAACACTATGACACTACATTCATATATAAATAGAATGTTTATCTACCATACCCCTATATATGTATTGCAAGATTAGTTCTTGAACAAATGTTACAAAAGTTTAATAGCAAAATGCACAACCAATAGCTAAGCATCGACAAGTGGGTACTACAGTTGGAAGAATCCAATCATAATTGTGCTTAACTTCTCCAAGTAGAGTTTAAAATGTATGGATTTCATATGATACAGGTAAATTCTCACGGGAATTAGGAAAGAAAACCTAAAAGTACAATAACAATGAGAAATTGAATATCTAATATAACAATCAATAAAGTAAATATCTCGCCTCAATAAGCTATTTCCTTAAACTCAAGATCTCTCTTGATGCTTTAAAATCATCATGTACATGATTGGTTGTTTTGTTTGATAGCTAGTCCAGTTAAAAAGGGGAATTCCATATGTTAGTTATACCAAAAAGGAAAGTAAATATATATCTTAGATAAAGAAGCACGCCATCAAAAAAAGGGTGATACATATAGTTGAGTTCACATGCCGCTGGTAACACAAAACGAACATATTATTGTTAACAACCAAATTTGGTGAAATCATAGATTGGATTCAAAGCTAGAGCATAAGCGGATTTGGAGGAATTTTGGTTTTGGAAAGAAGAGTGCGCATCGGCTACGGACGACATCGGCTGCTGTATGTATCGGCTGATACTGAATCAGACAAAGACAAGCCGATGCAGCCAATCTCGAACAGATGGTTCTACAATTATTGTCGGGATCAATCAAGGCACTACATGGGCATTGCCACACAAGGATTAGGGTCTAGAAAAGGCGATTGTATCTATTAATTAGGATGTTTTATTAATTTCCTTAGAGATATTTTTGGTAAGAGTCCACCCAAGGGACTTGTTCGTGTTTTAAATTGTAATAGAGATAGAGTCGTGTCCAACAAGGACATATTATGTATTTCGGTATAAATATAGCCCGAGGCCTTGTAGAAAAAACAACACTAGTTCAATAATACTTTCGGTGCATCGCCACCCTTTTTCCACTTTCATTGTTTTTGACGAGTTCTTGCTTTCGAGTTGGGCTGCATCGGTTTCGATCTCCGACGAAGAGGTAAGGCTGGTTATGGCGGTTTGTGTTCTCGGGATTAGTGCTTACATCATCATGACACTTTAATCCTGCCTATGTCAATCGCCAAGTTATCACATATGCTATATAACCTAGATCAATATCGTTATCCAACCCCATTGGCTATCCTCTATCATCGAAAACAGCCGGCAAGGTTAGTTACCGACGTTGAATTAGGTTATATAGCGTATCTACCATCTCAGAAAAGCTTCTGTCGACTTGTTTAGATCTTGTACTTCTCTTCATGACTTAATACTGGATTAGTTGAGTTTGATCTGTTGAGTAATGTTTAGAATTGCAATATCTAGCCCGTCTATAGCTGCTAATAGAGATAGCATCGAGGTTTCAGCCAATCTTATCTGGCTTAGTTATCTTGTCGCTCTCGCGTTTGCTTGATATGCTAAGTCTACCCTCTATACTAAGATATCGTTTGTTTGAAATATATTTATCTTGCTATCAATCTGTTAGGCCATCCTAATGTTAGATCGGTTCTCGTTCAATATGTTTCATCTACTGCGATATCTTGATATAGAGTGGTATCGGAGTACTAGCTGATACGCCCTAGGTTTGCTTCATCGGCTATGGTATGAATGTATTTCAGAGTACTTTTAGACATAAGTGATTTATACTGTCTTGGCGTACTGTCCGATCTATCCAAATCACTTAGTTTAAATGTATTCTGAGGGGCCGATTATATGTTTATTAATATCTACAGCCGATCAGGCGGGCCTATGTATTCTTGTGCTACATACTTCCATTGCCGATATGATCTTTACCATATCGGTCTGATATTGATACGTCAACGGCAATCTAGCCGATCGGCTATCGTTTATAGATTTAACTTTGTTCTTTTTTGTTTCTTGTTGGTTGCAGGATTAAACTAATTGGCACGCTCAGAACCCGAAGGCAAGTTTTTTTGGACCTGCACTAGATTAAAGCAAATCTCTCAGGCCAGTGTGTGTTTTTCACATCAACGATTATAAAAAAAATATGAAATATTAGTTTGAATGAAATTTATTAGGTATTGTAGATGTTGCTAATTTCTCTACAAACTCATAAAAAAGTCAAAACGACTCATAATATGATGAAACGGAAGGAGTATTTCGTATGTAGTCTCTGGCTCTCTGCTACTTTCTCGTTATTACTCCCTCCGTCCTAAAAAAGACAAATCCTGGTTTTCGTGTCCAACATTTGACCGTCCGTCTTATTTGAAAAAAAATATGAAAAAAATTAAAAAGACAAGTCACGCATAAAATATTAATTATGTTTTATCATCTAACAACAATGAAAATACGAATTATAAAAAAATTTCATATAAGACGGACAGTCAAAGTTGGACACGGAAACCCATGGTTTATTTTTTTTTTTAGGACGGAGGGAGTATGGTTTAAGCTAGGTAGTCATGAGGATGAGGGGCTGGCTGATCCGCAATCAGCCGCGCAGGGCCGCACCTGCGTGGTCAGTTCCGTGCCCTCCAGTCCTCTCTCCTCTGCAGTATAAGTATATGTATATCCTCTATATGCATACATATAATTTTGTATTACACGATACAAAGTTTATACGTATAGATATATATACATATATAATTTTATACGCATACACTTTGATGTATAAAAAAATTGTATACACGTATAAAACTTTATCGTACATACATATTTAAAAACCCAAAAAACCAAGGGAAAAAACAAAAAAGAAACACCACGTATACAAAGTTTATATACGTACATATACAAAAGTATGTATACAAACTTTCTATATGTATATTCACATATACAAACTTTTTATATATACATATCAAAAACGGGGAAGAAATCAAGAAAAAACCAAAAAAAACCCAAAAAAAATAAAACTGAAAGAAAAAAAAATAGAGAAAACTCACGCATATGACCCTCCCTCGTGCTCCTGCCACCACCCCTCCTTCGCACGCGCCACGTGGCTACGCCGCGGGGGGGGGGGGACGCGTGGATATCCGTGAATTAGCAAACCTAGGTAGCCATGGTCAATAAAGTTCCATGCTCACGCAGTCATGCTTAAGGGTGGATGTCAAGCTGGCTCGGCTCGGCTTGGTCTCGCTTATTAGGATAACGAGCTAGCTCGGCTCGGCTCATTATCCTAACGAGCTAGAAACCAAGCTCGGCTCGGCTCGTTTGCAAGCTCGAGCCAGCTCGTTTAGCTCGTGAGCTTTGGGCAGCGAACAAGGAGAGGAGAGGCGCCGAGGAAGAGCGGCGCGGACGGCGGCGTCCACGGTCACTTCGGCGCCAGGGAAGAGCGGCGCGGGCGGTGATGTCCATGGTTACGGCGACGTTGGGGAAGAGCGGCCGCGTCGGCGACCGGGAATAGCGGCGCGGGCGGCGGCGTCCACGGCCGCGCCGGCGATGGGGAAGAGCGGCGCGACGCAGCGGTGTGGGCGGCGGCGTATGCGGTGGCGTTAGGCGTTGGGACCTGGGGGAGAGCCGCGCGAGCGACCGGGCGTTGAGGGCTTGCGGCGGCTCGTGTGGGATTGGGGATGGGGAATAGAGCTAGAGTTTTGATGCATATATGGGCCTTCAAGCACATATGGCCCACAAGTCCACAACGGCATGGGCTAGCTACCTCAGCTCGTTAAGGCTCGCGAGCCAGCTTGAGCTAGTTCGTTATCTCTAACGAGCTAAAAGTAGGGCTGTCAAAAAAGCTCGAGGCTCGCGAGCTGCTCGAGCTTGGCTCGTCCTAGACTCGATTCGAGCTCGGCTCGAGCTCCAAACGAGCCGAGCCCGAGCCTCTCCCTAAGCTCGCGAGCTTTGTCGAGCCGAGCTCGAGCTTCCAACGAGCATAATAATATATGATTTTTATTGTTATTTAATAAATTAGGAGATCAAATATGTTATTTGTATGCCTTATATTGACATCATATATTTATTTTATTCTTTTTTCCTCTTCTTTTAATATGATGAACTAGAAATTAATTATTTTTTAATTATTTTTAAAAGATTATTTTTGAAATATATATTATTTTACTTAAAAATCTAGCTCGGTAGTCGAGCTCGAGCTTGGTCGAGCTCGAGCCGAGCCTGTCAAAAAGCTCGAACATTTTATAGGCTCGGCTCGAGCTTGTATCGAGCTTGTATCGAGCTCGAGCCTAGGCAGATGAGCTCGGCTCGTTGAAAGCCCTAGCTAAAAGGCCAGCTCGGCTCGTTAGGAAAATAAAACGAGCCGAGCCGAGCTTGGCGCGAGTCGAGCAATCTAACGAGGCACGAGCTTTTCATCCAGCCCTAGTCATGCCGCACTCCACAACATTTTTCTCTAATTTCCCTTTCATTCCTTCCATTTTTCCTTCTCAAAATTTGGCGGGCCACGTCGTGCCGACGGGCCGCCACCAGGCCCACGACCCCCAATCGGGCCCGTGCCGGCAAAGGCCTACCGTGCCTTAACAGGCCGGGCGGCCCGTTTGGCCCTTAGAACCGACCTGTCTCCTCCTCTCTCTTCAGTCTCTCACCGCCTCTCGCTGAGACGAGACGAGACGCGTGCGTCACAGCAGCTCACGATTCCGTCGCGCAAATCCTCCCCGATCTAAACCTAAACCCACCCCACCCCACGCCGACGAAACCCTAATCCCCCTCGCCTCCGCCGCCATGGGGGCCGCCATCCTGCCGCTCCCGGCGCCGGACGGCGACGGCGACTCCCATCCGCAACAGCCGCCTCCCCCTCCTCCCGGCGGAGGCGCGAAGCCCGAGCCGCCGCCGACGGTGGCCACCCACACCCGCCCCCTCGGGATCATCCACCCGCCCCCCGACATCCGCGTCATCATCGAGAAGACGGCCACCTTCGTCTCCAAGAACGGCCCGGAGTTCGAGCGCCGCATCATCTCCCACAACGCCGGCAACGCCAAGTTCAACTTCCTCCAGCCCTCCGACCCCTACCACGCCTACTACCAGCACCGCGTCTCCGAGCTCGCTGCCGCTCCCCCCTCCGCCGCCGCCTCCGCCGCCGACGCGGCCCCCGAGCCCGACGAATCCGGCGCCGCGCCGCCGCCGGCCGACTCCGCTGCCGCGCCCACCGTCGATGGCGAGGCGGCGAAGGCGGACCACTCCGCCCCATTCCGCGTGCCGCCGCCCACCAAGGTGCTGGTGCCACCCAAGGCGGAGCTCTACACGGTGCATCTGCCCGAGGGGATCACCGGGGAGGAGCTGGACATCATCAAGCTGACCGCGCAGTTCGTGGCGCGCAACGGGAAGAGCTTCCTGACGAGCCTGGCGCAGCGCGAGAGCACCAACCCGCAGTTCCACTTCATCCGCCCCACGCACAGCATGTTCACCTTCTTCACGAAGCTCACCGACACCTATTCGAGGGTGCTGAACCCGGTCGAAGGCATGCCTGCCCTACTGAAGGACCTACAAGACGGGGCGAAGGACCTGACCACCGTGTTGGAGCGGTGCCTGAACCGCCTGGAGTGGGACCGGTCGCAGGAGCAAGCGAGGCAGCAGGCTGAGGATGAAATCGAACAGGAGAGGATGCAGATGCAGATGATCGATTGGCATGATTTTGTTGTTGTCGAGACGATCGAGTTTGCAGATGATGAGTGCGAGGGACTCCCTGTGCCACTTACGCTGGAGGAGTTGAAGCGTCGGAAGAGGATTGAGGACCTGGGAGAGGAGGAGGCAGCCATGGAATTGGCCGAGCCAGCGAAGGATGTTGAGATGGAGATGGACGAGGAGGAGATTCAACTTGTTGAGGAAGGAATGCGTGCAGCAAGGCTCGAGGAAAATGAAGGAGGAGTTCAAGTTAAGCTTGCTGGTGATGAGGAGCCGCCTATGAGGATTGTCAAGAACTACAAGAGGCCTGAGGAGAGAATCCCTGCGGAGAGGGACCCAACGAAATTCGTTGTCTCACCAATAACTGGGGAGCTCATTCCAATTAGTGAGATGGAGGAGCACATGCGCATCTCGCTTATTGATCCAAAATATAAGGAGCAGAAAGAGCGGATGTTGGCAAAAATTAAGGAGACAACACTTGCTCCTGATGATGAAATCTCCAGGAACATTGTGGGTCTTGCCCGTACCAGGCCAGACATCTTTGGAACAACAGAGGAAGAGGTCTCTAATGCTGTCAAGGCAGAAATTGAGAAGAAAAAGGATGAACAGCCAAAGCAGGTTATTTGGGATGGCCATTCTGGTAGCATAGGTCGTACTGCCACACAGGCTCTGTCTATGGGCGGCGAGGAACAGGTTGATGCTTCGAATGTTCCTGGTCCAGCTCCACTTCCCCGCCCTCCCATGCCATTGCTTAGACCTCCTCAGCCACTTCCACTGGTTAATGTTCCACGCTTTCAACCTAGTGCAATGCCATATCCCCCACACCAACAACCTCATCTCATGCAAGGAGTTCCACATATGATGCCTACCATGCATCCGCCTCCACCACCGCCAATACCAGGTCAGCCGCAGGTGATTAGGATGCCAGGTTCAATGGGTCCTATGCCAACCAATATACCTCCGCCTCCACCAGGCCAAAATCCCTACATGCCTGGCCCGCCGCGTCCATACTCCATGCCTCCACCGCCACACATGCCAACCATGGCAACCATGGTCAACCCCATTGGGATTCCTCAGCCTCCACCACCTTTGCCTCCACAACCACCTGCTGAGGAGCAGCCACCTCAACCTGATGAACCAGAACCTAAAAGGCTGAGAACAGATGACGCTTCTCTTATACCAGCAGAACAGTTCCTTGCTCAGCACCCGGTAATACTTCTTGATATATTTCTTCTCCACTTTCCTGTTTTCTACTAAACATTCTTGTTAGTCTTGTTCTTTTTGTATGCGTATATTGAATTTTAAGAATTTCCATGTGCTAATTTCTTCTCTTCCCTGCAGGGCCCTGCTCACATCTCAGTGTCTGTACCCAACCTTGATGAAGGAAACCTGCGAGGCCAAGTGTTGGAGATCGGTGTCCAATCACTCTCAGACACAGTTGGCAGTCTAAAGGAGCAGATTGCTGGAGAGTTGCAGCTCCCTGCTAATAAGCAGAAGTTGAGCGTGCGGACTAGTTTCCTCAAAGACAATCTCACTCTTGCTTACTACAACATTGGCCCTGGAGTGGTGATCAATTTAACACTGAGGGAGCGTGGTGGGAGAAAGAAATGAGCTTTCTTGTATCTCAGTGCACTGGCAGGTTATTGCTTGCAACTGAACTTGCAGCTATAAAGGAGAATATTTTTGTTGGTTGCTGCCTATTAATTTCTGTATTCTCATGTTATGTTTAAACGTGGTGAAACACTGTTATTTGCACTATTTGAATGTCAGACATACATATCTCTTTATGGCCATCTGTTACTTAAAATATATGTTTTAGCTTCTGCTGTTTTGCTGTTGTGAAATGTGCTTGTCTTGAAAGTTCACTGCCTACTTGTCATCTTACAAGATGTTCACTATTTGAATGCTTGCATGTTATTGTAGATTTTTCTGTACTGCATGGGTGAAGGTCTTCAAGAGCTTATTATAAAGGTCTGGTCAAGATGATGATTGTTTTATTGTATATATACCTCTAACATTGTTAGTTACTCCCTCCGTTTCATAATGTAAGACTTTCTAGCATTGCCCACATTCATATATATGCTAATGAATCTAGGCACACATATATGTCTAGATTCATTAGTATCTATATAAATGTGGGCAATGCTAGAAAGTCTTACTTATGAAACAGAGGAAGTATATTGACTTGTTGATGATGCTCCTGATGTTAAAATTCTTCCTTTGACAGAATAGCATGGTTATCCATTAGATCGCTGCTGCTGGAATATTTTATGAAATAGGAAAAGCTTTTAGTTGAAGGCTTAATTATGTATTTTCTCTACCTTCATTGGTCTAATGCCTTAAGTTTTAGACGAGGACTTGCAGAACAGAATGTTGTATGCTAACCAAATTTTGTCAGTTACTTTGTATTTTCTCAAGGTGTTGACATTCCAGTTATGGTGTTACCCTATGCTTTTTGTTTCCTCACCTGCACATATTTAAGTTTTTTGTTAAGTGGTACTGTACCATTCCATGCTATTTCTATTTAGCTTTTCTTTTTCATTTGCGGTTCTGAGTGTTGCGGATGCAGAACATGACATGAAAACCCAAGTTATTCTATATGCTTTTGTTTTCTTGTATGGAGAGCTATATGTATTATATATATTATTATTATTCAGAAAAATAAGAGTTTTGAGTGATGCTTGCGCTGCTTTGTTCATGCTTTCATAAATTCGACAGGGCCACATAGCTTGCATACTCTAATCCCACAAATACATATTGTTTCGAACATTAGCATTGAACTTACAGGACTTGAAAGTATTGTTGGCGAATCTGTACTTTTTCTCCATTCAAATTGAAACATGTTCTGTGCATTAGACTATTATGAAGGGGAGGTTGTAATTTCTTTTTGTGTACAACAGACCAGTTTATATGGTGTACCATTATCTTTTAGAGAAGTTTTGATAGTCTCACCAGCTGTTTTTCTGTATATTTCTGGTATTTTTTTGTTCAAATGTTTGAATAGCACAGTAAGGCATGAAGGCATCATACTTGACCATGATTTCTCTCTTTTGAACATCACTGATGGTCTGATGCAACTGTAGGTCAAATTTTTGCCTAGTAGTCTCTGGCCAGGAGCCCAGGAGGCCAGGAGTGAGTTTTCTTGTTAATTTTTGAATTTTTTCCGACACATCCGTTATTTGACATGTGTGTGTTTTTTTAGATGCTGTTTTCAGCCCCAAAAGTGACAGGAGGATTCTGTGATCCAATGATGTAGCCGGTCACCTTATCTTTAGTTAGTTCTTTAGGTGCTCTGCGGGTTAAGGCAGTAGGAGGCAATGGTTCTAAAATACTGACATGGTATGTTGCTAGGAAACACTGTGCGACGGAATTTTGGTGTATACATGGAACGTTGCCATGTATATTATCTTTACAACACAATGTGGAAATCGATAATTATCTTTATATTACATAGGAAGGCTCAAGCGCTAATAGCATTCTATATCTGTTATATTGAATGTCATCATCTAAATATATTTTGCCTCTTGAATATTGTGGCTGTTGCTTCTTGTTTTCTAAACTGATCCAGGTTGCATCTTGTTTTCTTTAACAAGTGCAGTTTTCTCCTCTTGTTACAACTGCAGCCCAGCCTGTCGTGAGCTGTATCTTGTCCTTCTGTTTCTGTTATTGGGATTCATGGAAGTATTTGCTGGTCTGTTTTGACGATGTGGTAACTGGTGAGAGCACCAAGGAGGTGGTTGATTTATGGATCTGTCTGATGGTCTCTTGTGCTGATGAATCAGCATGTATGAGTGAATAGTGGGATGGATAAAACAAGTGTAATGTGTAATGCGTAATGATGATGTATATGTTCTGGTCTTCACCTGTAAAATAATGGCACTGCGAAGATCATACTTGTCATTTTACATTAGCAGACATGCAACGTTCGATGGTATCTTCATAGCCGTAAGACTTGTGTGTGCTGATAATTCTTGCTAGCACATGTCTGTATAGCCTGAGAACGTTCCCATGAAACCTTATCACCACCATCGTGTTTCATGTAATTCTGAAATTGCGTGTTTCATGTATGATCTTAACCTTCTTGCCGTGATTGCAAGTTTGCAACGAGAGAGGTATCTCTTGTCAGCACGCTCCACTACTCCAGATGCCAGAACTCAGCAGATTCTTTTATCAAGTACAGGAATTTCATTTGAAGGGGCATATATGTAAGCTAGAGTTTTTACCATCAATCAGGCATACATTCCTGTGCAATAACTGATAAAGTTCTTATCAATCAGGCATACATACCTGTGCAATAACTGATCAACAAACAATAATAACTGGGCAGCAATCCTGAACAATAACATCCTGTGGTGCAATCCACTACTCCATACATATCTACATATCGAACATCAGAATGGACGCAAGCAGACCAGGAGATAGATAGGAGTATAGGAGTATACAATTGCAACACGATAGATAGGAGTGCACAATTGCAACACAAACAGATAGATGCAGTGCCAATTTGGAATTTCTTCTGTCATTTCTTAGTGATGTTGTTCTGGTCTTATGTGTATCTATCATGCCAGTCCAATTTCCACTGGAAAAAAAAAGGGGTAAGTTGCTGCGTGAGCGATCTAGGCATAGTAGGCTCAGAAGGAAAATCTGGTAGAACAGGTCAATTACTTTATCCTTATATTGATATCAGTCCTGCAAATACACAGCCAGTAGATAGCTTATCTTGATATCAATAATAAAAGGAAACGAAATCTGGGTGAACCTACCCTACTGTAGTATGTTTTTGCTAACAACGCATGTTGTTTTACCAAGATATCCCTGCAACCCATGCCTTCAGTTTGACCAAACCAAATTCAGCATATTCCTCTGAACAATGCATATACCAAGCAAACTATAGCAAACATTTTAACTGGTTGACATTAGTTTGTACGAAGTACCAATTGGTATCTTAAAATTATATTAAACTCACTTTTTTTTCATCGCATAGCAAATACTTCAATATGTATAATGACAGCAAAAAGGTTTGAATGCATCATGCTCAAAACGTAGCAACTGAAACAAGATAATATATTCTGACTTCAACAGGTTTGTCAATTGTAGAATTGATGCTACACTGTTTTGATCTTATGAAGTAAATAGTAGTAATTTGTTTGGCCGATAATAACTGAGAGTTTTTTACTATTGTGTCAAGGAAAATAGTGGTGTCACTCATTACTTGTGAGATCATCAGAAGAGGAAATAGAACAAACAATAGAGTTGAGACATCACATGCCTAGTGCTTCCTCCGTCCAATAATACAAGAGATTTAGGCCCTATAGTTTGTCACACAATATAAGGGATTTTTGTGATCCTAAGACAACACTTTATTTCCCATTTATCAACTCTTGTACTAGTTTATTCTCCCACCTATCTATTCTTGTACTCCCTCCGTTCCAAAATATAAGTGGATGTGACACATCACAATACAATGAACCTGGATAGGCTTCCTGTCCAGATTCATTGTACTATGATGTATCACATCTACCCAAAGTCCCTATATTTTGGGACGGAGGCAGCACTGCTTTATTCCCCACCTATCAACTCTTCTACTATTTATCCTCCCATCTATCACCTTTTTTACTATTTTATCCTCCCATCGATACTTTTGTACTATGAAATGTATTTTTTATTACTTCCTTAATTTATACCAAAAATGACATAGTCCCTTCTATTATGGGACGAAGGGAGTATTGATTATTGAACATATACTAGATACTCCTTTGTTTCATATTATAAATCGTTTGACTTTTTTCTTAATCAGACTTTTTTAAGTTTGATCAAGTTTGAAAAATATAGTGACATTTCCAATGCAAAACAATTATTGTATCAAAATATATTCAATGTTAGATTTAATGAAACTAATTTGGTGTTATAGATGTTGCTGATTTTTTCTATAAACTTCGTCAAACCTAAAGAACTTTGTCTAAGAAAAAAGCCAAACGACTTATAATATGAGATGGAGGGAGTAGATGGTAAGAATTTTCCACATAGATGATACCTCTTGGAAATTCAATGTTTTGACCAACATTTATAAAATTTACCACGTACAAGTAGCTGAACAATCATATAATGTAGAAAAATGAACACACATAATGTAAAATTTAACCTTTCGAATTCAAACCATTACTCAGTACAGTTGAGATCATCTATTGAGGTCAGAAATTTGCAGAAGAGGATTCAGCGCAATAATGTTTGTATTACTTAACAGTCATGTAGCAGGAACAAACTGGCTCGGCCAAGAATGCTAAATCAAGCAACTTATGCTACAGACATTGTGTGCTATGCTAAATGTACTTTCCTTTATTCCAACAATATTTATGTTGAGATAAGCTGGCAAATCTTGTACTATTATGTTCAACAACTCACACACCCATGTCACCACATGCATGCTTAAAGTATATACAAAGCACCCGAACATTTTACATGGTTACATCCCAATCATGACAAATCTACTCTAACTGAACCATCTCATTGATTGTTCAAATACCAGGCATAGTTCTACATACACAATGTTCAATTATTCAACTCATGTTACACCCTCTAGTAACAAAAACATCTTGTGTTGGACATGTCTCAAGTCAAACTTTTGAGAATTATTCAACCCTTTTATACTGTATACCCATACAATTATTCAATCTCTTTTACTACAGTTATTTAATAGGGTTATATATTTGTTGACCATACATTCTATTAAACCACACAGCACAATTACTAATCTCTTGTACTGCATTAAATTAGGTTCCAGAGTGGATATGTTGTGATAGCTAGAGTGTTGGTTTTATTATTAGCAGACAAAACATTGTTAAACGTTACAAACGTACATCCCAACAAAATGGACAAACACTGTGGTACAGAAGGAGTAAATGAACTCCATTTATATGTTGACAATGGCACGCACTATTTAAACTGTAATAGCAAGATGGAAGATTGACATACGACTAGATTTTGCCACTATCTCAAGAAGGCATACAAGGCTATTAATGCAGGGCAATAAGAAGTCTAAGAGGATTTATACCAGCTGCAAACAGAATTGTATACATTATAGATTTTAATGTGCTTCACATATCTCCCTATGCCCTAGATTACACTACATAGTCCTATGCACTATCGGGGTTGTAGAACCCCCACTAATTTGCCCTACAACCAACATTATATACTAGCAATACATTATGCACTTTGAGTCTAAGTGAAGAACTTAACAACTAGGTGATTTAGATAGCAATAGGATCTTTATTGCAATTTCTTCAACTCAAAGGAGTTAATCCACATGTATTACTATGACCAATGCAAAACGCAACAGAAATAATCCATATCCCTCGACGTACGAAATATGTGTTCTCCAAAGGCATTTTGTTTACATTGCTCTAGGATCAGAGCCAAATGGCCACACATAGATCATCTCGTCCCACCCGGTGCTCGCGAGCAACCCTTCCACGAGCACGCTCATGTCGATCCCGGCAACGAATTCAGTGTGGTGGCCATACCTCGCGAGCAGCGCGTCCTCCTTGCGGTAATCCCACATGCACACCGTCATGTCGTAGGAGCAGGACATGAGCATGCCCTGCCGGTGCGGCGAGAACTTGACGCGCTTGACGGCGTACCCGTGCCCGGCGAGCTGCGCCAGCGGCGCCCGCGGCGCGCGGACGTCCCAGACGCGGATCGACTTGTCGACGGAGCCGGTGGCGAGGATGGACGGATCGTACTTGTCCCAGTCGAGCGAGAGCACCTCGTGGTCGTGCGCCGGGATGACCAGCGTGGGCGCCGGCTCGCGCACGTCCCAGACGCGGGCGGTGCGGTCGCCGGACGCGGAGGCGAAGACGTCCGGGTGGCGCGCCGACCACGCGGCGGCGTAGACGCAGTACTCGTGGCCGCGGAAGGTGCGCACGGAGGCCGGGCGGTCCGGGGACCAGAGCTTGAGCGTGTCGTCCCAGGACGCGGAGAGGAAGGCGTCGCGGCGGACGGGGTTCCAGTCGAGGCCGTGCACCTCCCGCGCGTGCTCCCGGAGGAGGCGGACGGGGTTCTGCGCGGGCGGCAGCGCGACGTCGAACAGGCGCACGGACCCGTCCCCGGAGGCGGCGGCGCAGAGGGACTCGTGGGACTCCGACCACGCGCAGTCGAACAGCGCGTCGGAGGTCGGGAAGGCGAACACCGGCGGGGGCGCCGGCGCGCCCCCCGGGGCGGCGGCGGCGGAGAGGTCGAGGACGAGGAGGTGGCCGTTGCCGACTAATCCGAAGTGCTGGGAGGCGGCCGCGAGGAGGCGCTGCTCGTGGAACGGGCTGAAGCGCACGGAGAAGCCCGGCGCCGGCGCCTTGAACGCCGGCATCGTCGTCGGCGGCGGCGAGGAATCGGTGGTCGCCGGATCCGGGACGGGGATGGTGTGACTTGGGGAAGACTTGCCCCTTCTCTTTTTTTTTTCTTCTCTTATCTTCCTTTCTCTCTTTTTCTCTCTGTTTTTTTTTAATTTCTCTCTTTATTATTACTCCTATAGCTCTTTTTTTTTCTTTTCCGTTTCAAAGAGTAGAAGTAAATTAGATTTAGGCTGTGTCTAGTTCACACCAAAATTGAAAGTTTGGTTGAAATTAGAACGATGTGATGGAAAAGTTGAAAGTTTATGTATGTAGGAAAGTTTTGATGTGATGGAAAAGTGGAAGTTTTTTAAAAAAGTTTGGTACTAAACAAGGTGTTAGCATACAACTCATAATTCTATTCTTACATAAATATTCTCGAGTTGCACTAACTACATCGAAAAAATTACTTCCTCCGTTTCACAATGTAAGATTTTCTAGCGTTACCCACGTTCATATAGATATTAATGAATCTATACATATATATGTCTAAATTTATTAACATCTAAATGAATATTAGCAATGCTAAAAAGTTTTACATTGTGAAACGGAGAAAGTATATACTTAAAGCAGACATAGCTAGTTAGTACTGTTGTCTCCCATAATCCACTATTTTACCTGTATAGCTGTTGGCTCATGTCTTGGGTGAGACATGAGAGGGACGTGGGTCACTGACGCTTAAATACATAACAGTGGATCTCACTTATAAGGAACACATGTTTCTCTGACCTTGCTTTAGAGAAGTTACGTTCGATCTAATTGTCATCTTCTTTTTCTGCTGTGATGAGGCACGTCAAAAGAGTCCTAATTAGAGAATGTGTCCACAAGAAAAAAAAAGTAAATACCACATTGGATGAACCATATGCTGTGTTTGGCATCTTGTGTTGAAAACTAATCTCTAAGTACATAAAGTACTGTTAACGACTAAATTTGGTAATATCAGTATCGAAGATGAAGATTAGATCGGAGCAGAATCAAAGACGAAGATCGTTTCGGAAACAGAGTAAGAATCGGCTGGAGTCCAAATTGGCTACGACCAAGATCGGCTGAGTCCGAGTCGGACTGGGTGAGTTGATATAGCCGATTCCGACAATACAACTCGGTATACGTCATCGGGTTGAGTTGATATGCTTTAAGATGATTGCCATGCATGGATAGAGTCATGAGAAGACAATTGTATCTATTAATTAGAATATTTTATGTAATTTTCTTATAGATATATTTGGGCAAAAGTCTGCCGCAAAGACTTATGGTATCTTAGAGTTTGTTAGAGATAAGAATCGTGTCCGTGTCCGATATGGACATGTTTTGTAATTCTTGGGTATAAATAGACCCCGAGCCCCATGTAATCAAACTAACACACGTTCAATACAATCTCGGTGCATCGCCACACTTTTTGCTTTCGTTTTGTTTCGACGAGTTCTTGCTTTCGGGTTGAGCTGCATCGGTTTCGATCTTCAACAAGAGGTAAAACTTATTATGGCGGCTTGCGTTCTCGGGATTAGTGCTTCCATCATTATGATACTCTAATCTTGTTTATATAATTCGTCGAGTTATCATATATCTTATATAATCTCTAACAATATTGACATTTAACCTATAATCGGCTAACATCTGTCAGTAGAAGGCAGTCGATTAGGTTAGATAGCAACGTTGGCTTAGATTATATACGATATCCACCACTCTATGAAACTTCCAACGGCTTGATTGTCTAGATATTGCTCTTCTTTTCATACTTATAGTTGCATCAGTTGAGTTTGATCTTATGAGTCGTGATTAGAATCTCAATCTCTAGCCTGCTTCTTGGTTGCCGATTAGGGTAGTATCGGGGTTTCAGCCGATCTTACCTGATTTAACTACTTTTTGTCCTTTATGCTTCGTTGATATGTTGAATCTGTTCTTTATGTTAAGATCTTGTTGCATTTAAGTATATTAGGCTTTTGTTTGATATATTCTATTTGCTTTGATATCTTAGTATAGAGCTGTATCGGAGTATTAGCCGATACATGCTAGATCTATCTGATCGGCTATGCTACGAATATAAATAATCTCATTGTTAATATATATTTCGATTGAAGTGATTTATACTGTCTCGGCATGGCGACGATCTATCGCAATCACTTGATTAAGTATATATCGATATAAGGATTATATATCATTAATATCTATAGCCGATCGAGTAGATTTAGTTCTGTTTTATTTATTAATGCCTGCCGATCGATGCATATATGACATCGGCTCAAAGATAAATGATATGTTATCAGCACCTAGCCGATCGGCTATCGTTTATGGATTTAACCGCGGTTTCTTTGTCTTTGTTCTTGTTGATTGCAGGATCAAATCAACTGGCACGCTAGCATACCCGAAGGCGAGTTTTGGACCTGCACTGGAGTTAGGCAGATCTCCCAGGTCTCGTGTTTTCACATCAACAGGTACCTCATTAGCACAAAATTAATTAAGTATTAAAAAAATAAAAATAGATCAACATGATTTTAAAGAAACTTTTCTATAGAACTTTTTTTTTGCAAAAAATATACTCACTCCGTTCCCTAATACAAGGGATTTGATATTTTGCTGGTACTGTTTGACCACTTATCTTATTCAAAAAAATTTATGCAAATATAAAAAACGAAAAGATGTGCTTAAAGTACTTTTGATAATAAAGTAAGTCACAATAAAATAAATAATAATTCGAAAAAAATTTTAGTGAGACGAACGGTCAAACAATGCAAGAAAAATGTTAAAACCCCTTATATTGGGGGACGGAGGGAGTACTATTTAACAGTTTGGAAAGCGTATTCGCAGAAAACAATATAGTAGGAGTTAGAAAGAGTACTCCCAAATGCACCCATATGACAATACTACCTCCACAATAGAAATAGAGCCTCTAGCTTACTGGCATCTGAATTTGATGACAGGTGGGCCCCATAGCTCATGGGCTCATATATCTGCGATCGATGTCAGAGGGAAGTACATCAGAGGAGCCTCTTCCTGCCAAAATGCAGGCAACACTCAAGTGGCTTTTATATTTCAGCCCTTGATTATTTATGCTTCAACCCTACTATACTTATAAACATCAAATTAGTTATCTATATCTATACTAATATAAAAAGGAAGAGTTGTATCCCTTCAATCCTACAGGCCAAATCACATCTATCAATCCCTACCGTCCATCCACGTCGCACGCATCACAACCGTCACTACCTGCTACCGCCCACCGATTCCCCTCCCTCCACCGCGATTTCTGCCTGCACTCCCTCCACCGCGTGTTTACTCCGTCCCGCGAGATGATTCCGTGGACCACTTACTCGCTCCTCCTCGCTCCACGCCTCCACGCGTGTCCCCGCCGCAGCCGCACTACACCGCTGCCCCCGCCGGAGTCGAGGCCATCACCAGCCGCTGCTTCCCCCGTCGGAGTCAAGGTCGTCACCAGCCGCCACTGCCCCGCTTGAGCCGAGGTCATCCCCAGCCGCCGCCGCACTCCACCGCTGCCGCAAGCCGCCGCCGCCGAGGTGGTTCCCCCCTTTCGCCGAAGATAAGCTTCCGTTCGTTAGTCTGCTAATGGAAACAATATTTAGTTTTTTAGATCCATCCTCTCTTGCTCCACTAGTCAGTGGTCTCAGGTTTTAGGCAGGAGAAGGCGATCTCATAGCAAGGTGCAATGGCAACATCATACCATCCCTCGCAATGCCTCTGGACTAAAGGCGATGCTGCTGGATACATGTTCCTGTATCCATGTTGGAGGTTGATTTCCTATAAGTAGGTTAATTACATTGTTGATGGAATCTTCATGGCATCAGGTTCTACTTTGCAAATTTACAAATTATTTTTTCCTCTATAGTTCTGTCCCTATGGACTGACATATATTTTGTATCTGAAAATGCATTTGGGGCTTGATGTGGCCATGCGGATTCTTGAGTGAAATATCTAGCAAGTTCCATGGGTGCTGGAAATTTGAATATAGCATGACATCCACAAATGGGCTTCAGGAATTAAGAGGGAGCCAATCAGGACAAGGGCCTCCTGAGCTAATGTTGTGTATTGCAGGTACTTCTTTGTGTCTCAATTTAGGCAAGTGTTGTATAAAAAAAATTGTTAATGAAGCTGATATCTCAATTGTTGTGAGTTGTTCCTATGAATACATGTGCTTGAGCATTAAAGAAACAAATGTCTTCAGATATGCACTTTCATGAATTATGAGAGAAGATATGGACCTCCCACAGCTAGCTATGGAGAAACATGCACAGTTTAGACAAAATGTCAGAGTGCCTAGGAAGACATGTTGAAGACATGTTGGGTTTCTTTTTTCCATAAAATAAATTAGTATACCATTTCTACATCTTGGCAAAGGTTGTACTTGATGATCTTTTATGGCCACTGTAGGTTAGTTATTCACTGTTGTCTCTCCTTTCGTTGGAGAATGGGCTCCATGGTGCAATGGCTGCACTTGTTGGTTTTGAACAAAGTTTTAGTATTTTTTGCAGTTCATGGTACTTATTCAACTATAATAGCCCTCAAGACAAGCATATATTCTGAGGTAACTCATTGTCTACTAAAGTTGAAAATTTTAATTTAGTTCATACTTATGGTACTTATTCTGCTATAATAGCCCTCAAGACAAGCATATGTTTTTGAGGTAACTCACTGTCTACTGGAGTTGAAAAATTAATTTAGTTCATAATTGAACTGGTTTATCATAAATAAGGTTGTTTATGTATATAAAATGTCCAGTGGCGCAAAAAGGTGCGTGATTATTCAAAGATCTAAAGTAAAGTAATCGATCTGCATGGTCTTTTGTTCGTCGACGAGAACTCTCTGAAGTTTCATTCCCAGGTATTTTTCCTCCTGTGATCATATAAATGTTATTTCGATTGCAATGTGAGAAGAACACATATGAAGTCCTTGTGGCTGTAGGAAAACCATTGTATAGATAGTGGAGTTCATCTCCTTATGCAATTGAATTAGCCACAAGTTGTTTATGAAATGCAGCAGTGGCTTTAACAAGAATGGAAGCCTTACTTCTTGGGGAACTTAGGGTGGCCTGAGCTACTCATCAGTTACTTAGTATGAGTCCATATCCTTATTAGGATTAGCATGATACTGATGCTCCCTGTACGCCTGTACCCAGAATATATATGTGAACGTATACGTTCATTTTTATCTTAAATAATAGAAGGTTGGTTAGCTAGATCTAAAATGTGAGCTTTTCTATGGTGTGGTGCCCTGGTATATAAGAGGTATAGGGTTAATGCTTTCAGTATTCTGCTTTGTTTGCTATCTATTAATGCACAGATGTCTCAAGCCACTGTGTAATTTGTAAAATTCATGCCAACTGATACCAAATACAGAGCAGTATATGGTATATATTTTTTATCTAATCCTTGCATGGATAATTTATTGAATTTGAATTGGGGGATTATCCTTTTATTTTATCTTGTCGAGGATCTGGTGGCAACAGCTCTGTGGCTCAATAGTAAGAGGAGGGGCGTTGAGAGAGCAGGAAGTGAATTGTTGGCTACAATTGATAAGGTATGCCTTTTTTTTAATTACTGACTCAAATGGACTAATAATTGGTGTCATTATGTGTATTACAATAGATATTATATACATTATCTGTGATATATTCCCAAAAATGCTCTTCATAGATAAACCACCGACTACCTCATGTGAGTCATTAAAGTTCCCCGATTATTTTTGATCTGTTTGAGATCTACCGCCATGGGATTGCTAACCATGGACTATAATATTACTCTCTAATATGCAATTCTACAAATGAGAAATGAGATGCTACCTATTGGCATTTTTTTACCAGCTGGAGATGCTAGCAATCTCACAGAAACAGTGAGCATAGTGATTCTACTTCAGAGTTGTTTCTTTTTTTTTACCAATGAAATAAAATCTGTGTAGATATCCTTTTGTTCCTCGGGGGCACTCATATGGAGCTTTTTTGGAATTTCTATTAATAAAGGTGGATGGTGCATTGCATGTTATATTGTCACTCTAGGAATAGACGGTGCAAGTTTTTCAGAGATCATTCAAATTATCATCCCACTATGGTCTATGGAACTCAATTTTTACGTGAAGAATTTGTATGGAGTGCTACATAAAAAAGGCTCGCATTTATTATTCTACTTTTGTGTATATAATATCAAAACGTGCCTTGCACGTACACGATAACTAGTAACTTTTATATTTGGGTCTTATGAAAAAAAAAGCCTACAAAAATAGCCTTAGGGCCCCCTTTGAATCAAAGGAATTATAAATGAATTTCATAGAATTGAAATCCTATAGGAAATTTTCCTATGTATCTCTTTGATTCAAAGGATTGAAGTTTTCCAAATCCTACAAAATTCCTATGGAATGGCATATTGCATATAGGTTTTGGAGGAAACTTAGCAAGAGGTCTAACCTCTTGGTAAAAGTCCTTTGAGTCTATCTCTCCTATCCGATTCCTGTGTTTTTTCCTGTGGTCCAATCAAACGATTATTTCTATATTTTTCATGTGTTTTTCAATCCTCTGTTTTACACTTCATTCCTATCAGAACCCTATGTTTTTCTTATTCCTCCGTTTTTTTCATTCCTACGATTTAAAAGGGCTCTATATATTTGCTAGGCCCCTCACTATTTTCTTTTTTTTGGGAAAATTGGTTCCACGCATCGAAAGTTTATATATATATACCATCGAAAGTTTGTGGTGCACTTTAATACCATCCAAAGTTTTCTCCATTACCTTTCTATACCACAACTGTTTATTTCCGTTAGTTTGTTTTTTCTTTTCAATATTTGGCTGGAAAACAAACAGATTATGACTGTATTGCCCTTCCTTTACTCATCTAAATCTCGCCCAATTTTTTCTTCTTTGGCCGACATAGGCATATCGCTTCATCAATGGGGATTGGGAGCAACAAGAGCAGCGGCAACACAGGCCGGAGAAACATTGTGAGGAGAGGACTGCACGAGCACCAGAGCACCGCGAGTGGGTTACGAGCGCGCGCGGGGGAGCAGCACGGCCGACAGGGACGGTGAGCTAGTTCCCACCATTTTCAACTCGATCTCAAGCACCATTCATCCCATCAATCCGCGTAATCTCGCCGCCGGTGGCCCAATTTGTCTCTCAAGTTAGAGCTCCTCCTTGTCAAATGAAACATCATATCGAGCTCAAGCTCTTCCCTGTAGCAGCCCCCCTCCAAGAGCGCCGTCAGGTCGTCGTCGGCGTTTTGCCCAACTTTAGTGGCAGGTGACCGGCAGCCGGCCCGGCCCCCTCCAGGAATCGCAGCGTCGGTCAACGTCGTGCTCTCCCGCGCCAACCCCCTTCCTCGCGCAGTGGATGGCTGTGGCGGCTCCGACAGGTGCGGTGGCAGGAGGATGTGATGGAGCTGGGCGGCAATGCGTCGGGGACCCGAGACAAGGGCAAGTAATGTCGTGTTTAACGACAGATCCACTCAAGTTCACGGTGATGGTAAAATAAGGCCCGGTTTGATTCAGCTTAGAATTATTATAGTCTGGATTATTAGGAGTAAGCTGAAACAAACAAGTAGATTATTATGCTAAATTATTTATTATAATCTATAAGCCAGATTACTATAATTCAATAATTTCCTCTAGAAGAGCTTTTTCCAGATTATTGAGTGGCTAAAGACCCACTACCCTTAAATGCCTCTAATAATCTAGAGAAAGAAACAACTCGTAGCTTATTTTATGTTAGCTTATTATAATTCAGCTTAGAGTAATCTGATTTAATAATCTAGATTATAATAATCTTAAACTGAAACAAACATGGGCTAAGTAACGTAGTAAATTTTGGATGGTATTAAAGTACAGTACAAACTTTCGATGGTATTAAACAAAACTTAAGAACTTTCGATGGCATGGAACCAATTTTCCCTTGTGTAAAATTTTGTTGAAATTTTATCAAAATTTTGTTCAATTCCTGTCAAAATGTTGCTGAAATTTCATCAAAATTCCATCAAATTTAAAATCAAAAAGAAATTTCCAAAGTCATGCATAAATTAGGGGCAAAAACACAATTAATAAATAGAGATGAGAGAAAGTATAAATGTTCTTTTGACAGGTAGTTAACACCGTTAACTCCTCCATCCAAAACATGGGCAACAAGATTTTTCGGCTAAAAAAAGTGGGGAAAAACGAAAAGCCTAAAAGATAGGGGTAAAATCAATATTGAACATGAAAGTGAGGGAAAAAACAAAATTGTCCCATAGCATTTACATCCTAACATGGTTATTACCACTCTGTTGTAAACATGGATGAGAAGATGAAGTGGATTGTAAACTAAATCATAATCATCATGGAAGATTCCTATCTACTCCGTCCAACAATATAAGTATTTGAAGCATTTAAATTTTGTTTAGGAATATAAGCATCTCTACACTATAAATTATCCCATCAATCTCCTCATTCCAAAAATCAGGCGCCAATATCCTTTTAATCTATACTTAATATAAAAAGGAGGAGTTGCCCCCTCCAATGCTACAGGCCAAATCATCCGGATTAATCTGAACAGTCCATCCGCGCGCAAGTTTTCTCCACCGCACGATTTCACAGCCGAGGATTCCACGCGCGAAGATTTCGCTACTCCTCCACCCGTGGCCGCGAAGACTGCGCTTCTCCTCGCTTGCTCGCTCCTCCTCCCCGCATCCTCGCAGGAGCTCCTCCCCGCTGCCGCCGCTCCTCCATGTCCTCGCCGGGGCCGCCACCGGGTCCTGCTTCTTCCCCACCGCCGCGGCCGTCTTCCTCGCTCGCTCCTCCTCCTCCTCCCCGCTGCCTCGACTGACTTCAATGGACACGAGTAGCGGCCGAATCGATTCACCCTCTCTGCGGCGGTGCCCTGGTCGCGTCACCTACTGTATCCGATCGTGAGGTAACTCTTCTGATCTGCGATTCCGCCGCCACTAGAGCCACCGTTGTCGGACAATGATGGATAGTTCTGCTTCTCTTGCAGGGCCTTGGTTGCCTCCCTTGCCATGTCTCATCGGGTGGTTCGATTTGGGCATCGCTCCGAGCGTGGAGGGCCGATTAGAGCACTGCTGCTGCGTGGCTGCCCAGCGTGCAGTCATGCCTCGCCGTACCCATTACCCATCACTCTGTCTCTACCGCCTGTTTTCATGCTCCTCCACTGCAACCTGATTTTCCTTATGTGATGGATAACAATGCAGATCGTGCTCCACATCAGCAGCTTCGTCAAAGAACATGTACTTGTGAGCATCAGTTCCAGGACATGCTTACCATGTGTTTGTGAAAATGCCTTCAAACAATTTGTTCCATCTGTTATTTTAATCCTTGTGCATATTTTGGTAGGAACACCCATTATATGCAACACAAAATATATTCTTGATAGGCCAGACATTCATCGTGATGGCTAATTATATGCAACCTAAATATATTTCAGCCAGCAAGGATTTGGAGAGCAAGCATATATAATTTTGTTATAGCTGCTTATGTCCATCAACATATCTTTATGAATTATGATGCCAAATTTCTATATGTTTTTCATTATACTGATATCTTCTTCATGTTTATCGTACTAAGGTTGTTTCCAAGTTTATGTAAGTGTTTCATAACCCTGATTCTGCAATGTGACCCACCGTGTACTTATTAGAAGATCAAAGTAACTCAGTTTATTTACTCCAGTGCATTGTTTCTTCAGGTAGTAGTCGATTTCAACTTTTTAATAATTCCACAAACAGGGATCATTTCATTTGCTCCGTACAGAGAGTTACTGAACAATACATCATATGTGTAAGTGTAACATTTTCATGGACCATCTCTTCTTCCATTTTTCTTGAATGCAATGTGGTATATATAAAGCATCCTAGATATATCTGAACAATATAAAGTCAAGCATTGCATGATTGTTTTTATCTTACGTTTCTATTAGATAGCCAATTCTAATGAAAACTCTATTTTTTTATTTTGCAACTCCAGTCTGTTCCATCATGAATATGTGCAGATATGTATTCAAGACAACCTACTTCTGAATTCTGATGTTAAGTTGTTGACAGCAATTGAGAGGTATTTAAAGAATATGATTTGTGACAAATTCATTTTAGTGAAGATCAGCAGATCAGCAATGCTCTTAATCTGAGGTACAAATGCACACCTACTTATTCCAGTATTCTCTGTTGCAAATAATGGGGGTGCTTGTGGTTAAATTCTTTTGTTTAATCAGTAGAGGTTAGCATGCATTGTTATAGACCCTTTGTAGAATAGTAGTTATGTTTAGTTGTTGCACTTACGTGCCATATTCATCATTTTAATGGAATTATTATGTTTAGTTGTTGCAATTACCTGTTATGATGCCACTGCTCGGTAATTAAATTTATACATAGTTCATATTTTGTTGAATTAGATTCTAGACTATGAAATATTCCATGTTTTGGGCGGTAAACCTTCATTATAAATTGATGGATCCTCTAAAAGGTTGATGAGAATCATCAAACCTTCAAAGTACCTCATAATTTCTTTTATTCTCACAGATCATATTCATTCCGGAGTAACATTTTTGATATATTCAGTCTGGTTGCACTGAATATTGAACGTTGCTTCCATTATTTGATCTAATGACTCAGATTGTAGTTGGGTCCTCACCCTCTAATCTCTCCTGAAAAATCAATTTGATTCTCCTTTACCGAACGGCAGCAACGGCTTCTGTTGATCCAGGTAGTACTATTCCAGTCAATTGAGAATTTTTTGAAGATCGCATGAAAATGTGATATTGCAAGGGAATGTACATATTTGAGTTTGTAAGGAATTCTTTTTTGATATTTTTCTATAGATGACCCTTGCATTTCTGAATCTTGCAGTTCCATGCAAAATATCTTATGAAGCTCTGTTTCTTGTAGGTATGATGCATTTTATGTGTGCAAGCTCATATATAATCACTACGGTCGTTGTTATTTTTGTTTCATGTGTTCCATAGTGGTGCCTCTGAGCCCTATATTGTGATTGATTTGTCTCACCATATCGACTTTCCTTGATCCTTTGGTGAGCTACCATCTGCATTATGGCAATGCATTTGCAACTGAGGTATGATGATGCTTGCATTTAAATGTTTCCGAAAAATTAAACAAAAGTTTCAAGTACTGAACATTATTTTTTTCCCATAAATTACCATATTAAACCTCTTTATTTTGCTTAAATTCAGTTCAAGTTCTTAGGTGTAACAAGTTTTTTTTATATAAAATTGCATTAAAAATTGATATTCCCAAATAACAGTGTTTAGACTTCTGAGTAGTGAATGTGGGAAATAAAGACGTGCCTTGCACGTGCACGGTTACTAGTCTCCAATAGTTTCCCAGTAGTTAGATCCCAATTATTTCGCTGTTTGGCAGACAGGTAATGTGGGTTGGGACCGATTGTTATACTGTTCGGCAGACATCCTCTCGTTTAATGCATGATATTTTTAAAAATAGTTATATTTTTTTAAAAAAAATCAAGATAAATTAATATATGATATATTACACGTTCTATTCATAGCCAAATTTTTTATTTTTGTTTTTACTTATATAAGTTGAATTTAAATATGCATGCTTGTAAAGTAATATATCACATATTGATCTATCTTATGAAAATTTTTAGTGACTTTTTTAAGCGACATAAAAAATGAGGGGACATCCATTTTAAGGGATGAATAGAGTTTCCCAAATCTATTCTGTTGGTGGCGCAAGCATGATCCGGTTCAACTGCAGTGGCAGCATCATTGGATTTAAATCAGAAAGGATATTGACACAACACCCGTTTCCTAGGAAACTCTTTTAAGCAGTCAGGTGGACGTCCACCTGTTTTTTTCATGTGAACTAATTTGTTATAGAAAAAAAATCAAAAAATTGATAAGATAGATTAATATATAACTAGTTGTATGGCCTGCGCAATTGCGCGGCTAGCACCTATACAAAATTATATATTTTTGTATGATTTTACTTAAAATTTAATAAATAATTATCTCGTTGTATTAAGACTTTGAAAGACCAAACCTTATCATTCCCGTGTTTCTAATTTTATAATTTTTAAAAGTTACACCAGTTGCTACCCGTTACTTCTGTGATATCCTTCTTTATTAGCTTGCTCGATCTATCACTCTTTTTATTCATTTTCTTTGAAACCTTTTAAAATTGGGTCTTATAGTTTTTAGAGTTTATTGTCCCATTGGGTTTTGACGTTTTGTTTTTATAATTTTCTAGAAGTCCCGTCAAATGCTGCCATTGTACTCCTCTACGGTCCATCCACTGACTCTTCTCTTTATTGTCATTGATATTTTAAAAATCGAACATAATTATCGTTTAAGTTTATTTTTTTTACTTTCTAGAAGTTCAGCCAAAACGTCAGCGACAAAAGTCACTCTACTCCAATACGGTTTGCCCGCTGCTTCCCTTTTTTATTGTCATTAAGATTTTAAAATCAAACATGTTTATCATTGTTTTTTTTTACTTTTTAGAAGCCCTAACCTCTTAAAATTGGACCTTATAGTTTTTATAATTTACTATCTCGTTTGATTTCATTTTTTATAATTTTTAGAAATCCCGTCAAACGCTACCATTATACTATTCTACGACCCGCCCGCCGCCTACCCTTATTATCATTGGGATTCTAAAAACCAAACATAAATATCGTTGGAATTCATTTTTTACTTTCTAGAAGTCCCACCAACCATCGGCGGCTTGCCATTGTACTCCTGTATGACCCATCCGCTGCCTCTCCTTTTTGTTTCTTGGGAAACTCTTTTAAGTAGTCGGGTGGACGTCCACCTGTTTTTTTGCATGTGAACTAAATTGTTATAAAAAAAATTCAAAAAATTGATAAGATAGATTAATATATAATAAATCACTCCACAAACATATAAGTTTAAATTCAACTTCTAAAATTTATAACAAAAATAACAATTTTGATTGTGTGTGTAATACATACATATGTATATGTATGTATGTATGTATATATATATACACACACATGGTGCCCGGGCTCTAAGGTATAAAACACACAAATTCTCTCAAATTTTTAAAAATTTTCAAATTGTGAGTATATACCTAGGTATATGAATTTGATTCATACAAATACCTAACAACAAAACAACTTAAACTCAACTTTATTTCACAATTCATTATTACATACCTAATAAATTATATGTTTGGATATTATATACCTAGAACCAAAATCTAACAAAAAAAAAGTTTAAACTCAGTTCAAACAAGTTTGAACTTGTTAGTAAAGAAGTTAATGTTCATATCTAAACATTTAAAAAATTTTCATACTCATTCAAATTGAGTATATACTCAATTTGAATCTTGGAGCCCATACTCCATATAGCACCAGTTAATTTGCGTGTATATATATATATATATATATATATATATACACACACACATACATATATATACACACACACGCAAAATGCCCGTGCTTCGCTACGGGTAAAGGAACGGTTAAATTCAATAAAGTACACCATTAACATGTATAAAATAATGTTCTAAGATAGGTAAATTATTCATTGCGCTAATGATAATCAAGATGGATAAAAATATTCCTGCTTAGCTCGCATCACGAAAGAAAAAACAAGAAAATTGAATTAAAACATATTAAATTCTAATTTAATGAAATATAAATTTTCTGCAATATTAATTACACTCTTTGAAATTATAGCAAAAGTGGTCGAGCGTTGCAACGGAAAGAAAAAAAAGATAAAATTGAATTAAAACATATTAAATTCTAATTAAATGAAATACAAATTTTTTGAAATATTTGGGTATTTTTTAAGTAGGTAGGTATATAATTAAATTAATTTATAAGTAAAGTAAGTGTGAGAAATAAAATGTTATGGTTGGAAATATTTGGGTATTTTTTAAGTAGTTAGATATATAATTAAATTAATTTATAAGTAAAGTAAGTGTGAGAAATAAAATGTTATGGTTAGATTTAATTTTTTATTAAATTTTCTATATTATTAATTACATTCATTGAAATTTTCTTGGAATTTACGTAGCTTAATTGCTAATTCTGATAATACAAACATCATTTTAGAATTTATTTAAATAAAAATAATTTTATCTCTATAGGCCTATTTCAGCCCACTTTCTTCTTCAGCCATCGTCCGCGACCAAAGTCTAATTTGGATCCCTATACTCTTCCTCAATCTTCCTGGACTGCCGAGCCGCTTTCGGCCCAAGTGGGGCGGCCCAACGCTCGATCGATCTGAGCCGTTCGTTTTGATGGACGGCTCAGATTAGTTCCAAAGTGATGAAAACCCTAACCCTCCCCCTCCCCCTCCTCCTCCACCCAGCCGAGCCGGCCGCCTCCCCCGCCCCTAACGCCGCCTCTCCCCCTGCCCCTCACCCCACAGCCGCCGCTTCCCCTCCCCCACAGCCGAGCCGGCCGCCTCCCCCGCCCCCGACGCCGCCTTTCCCGCTCCCCTCCGGCGGCCGCCTCCCCCGCTCCCTACGTCGCCTCTTCCCCTCCCCCTCTCCCCACCGGCGCCGCTTCCACTCCTCTCCCCTCCGGCGGCGCCGCTCCCTCTCCCCCTCTCCCTTCCGTCTCACCGGCACGGCACGGGTGACGGCGGCGACGGCGGACTGCTCCCTCTCCCCCTCTCCCTCCCGTCTCACTGGCACGACGCGGGTGACGGCGGGGTGCGGTGGCATCATCGGCGTCCACGCTCCCTCGGCGACGGCCGTCCTTACGGCAGCGTCGACGGCGACGACGGGTGCGGCGGTGACGGCGGACTGCTCCCTCTCCCCCTCTCCCTCCCGTCTCACCGGCACGGCGCGGGCGACGGCGAGGTGCGGTGGCGATGGCGGGGAGCGGCGGCATCGACGGCGTCCGCGGGTAGAGCCGCCGCTGTCGGATCCGCCTGCGGTCGCCGCCACCGCTGACGGATCCGGTAGCGGAGGCTCCCTCCGTGGTGGCGTCGGCGGCCGCCGATTTTTTTTTTTTTTTGCACTTTTTTTATCGCTATTGCTAACCAACTCGGATTTTGTATGGACGAAAAACTGACGAAAATTAGATGTGATGACCGGAAAAATACGAATATTTATATTATATATATATATATATATATATATATATATATATATATATATATATATATATATATATATATATATATATATATATATATTTTGCTGATCGGTTTGATCATTTGAGTGTATGAACTTAATGGGTATAGACCCGTTTAGAGTGTAGGATTTAATAGCGAATGGATTTCATATATTTGAATAGATTGAAAAAGGAATTAATGCATTTATATGCATGCATGCAGTGTGGATGAGAGAATTTCCATAATTGCGTGTATATTTCAAAAATGGAAACATTAAATGCCTGCGAAATTGGAAATAATATCTTGTAAATATGGAAACTTACATGATTGCACGGTGAGGTTTGAATAAATGGTAATATAGTGGTGAAAAATGGAAACTAAGTATTTGGAAACATGGAAGCTAATTAATTGGAAATATATTTGGAAACATGGATACTATATATCGCAGCACATTTATATGGTAATGTAGCTGTACGAAATCATTCCATTCATGACGCCATTAATTTAGCTATTTGAGTAACAAAATATGCACTGCGGATCACTTTCCATGTTTAAGATACACAGCTTGACATATACTCAAAAATTGGGTATGAAAGGGAAAAAAATCCCATGAACCAATATACCATTTCTGTGAGTATGAAAGGAAGGAAGTCTAAGATCGACATGAACAAATATGTCATATATTATGTATTCAGTTAGTGATATAAACTTAGGTATAGATGTACATAATGCCTAATCGATTGATTGAATATATGCTGGACACTTGACAAATCTATTATTTATTGTAAAAAAAAAGTCTGTATATACAAGATATTTGGGTATATACCGTTTTAAACACACATACTATTACGATGTGTATATATATACCCATTTAAAATGCATATCTTGGAAAAATACCTACTTCTCGTTGGGTACATACCTACCTAAATGCCGTGAAAATAATTGATTTCAAGAAGCTTACTTTTTTTTCTTGAACTGAATTTGAAACTAGCTAGGCCTTATATTAATTTTTTTCTACTCTAGCTAGGTAGCTGACCAGATGTAATTAGATGACATACACACATATTGAGTATATAAACACGCATATTAATTATACAGATGTAATGAGTATATACACAAGCATGCTAAATACACACACATGCATGAGTATATACACATGCATATTGAGTAAAACATTCGATGTATACAGACACTTTGAGTGAGTATATGCTCACGTTGAGTATACTCACACACACATGCATATTGAGTACAAGAAAACATCATGATTTATACAGAGTGAGTATATACTCACATTGAGTATATACACAGTACACATATTGAGTATATACACACAAAAAAATAAAATTGATAGATGGAAGAGCATCATCGTGATTATCGATCATGGTCATTCATCTGCAATTCTCCAATTCTCCATGCACACACGCATTATATTATGGAGCCCCAGCATCCTGCAAAGTGAAAATACATGTACTATTATTGCCTGCTATAATAACATATTTTCTCATATACTAATCCAGATCTACCTAGTGCTCTAAAACATGCATGCAATGCAGGCTACTCGTCACTGTGATTGGCCGCTGGATATATATATACCTGCAATAGGTGCTGTCGATCGAACCGACACAACTTGGAGACGACGAGCCTCACGGATGAACGGCGACGAACCTCGCGGACGAGTCGACGACCAGCGGCATAACGGCGTAGGTAACAATGAAGCACGAGGCCGGCAACAAACCATCAGCTGGTCTTATATACATAGAAAAATGGAAAGTGAAAACCATATACATAGAAATAAATCAATTCAACATGATAGAGAAACGGTGTGAGCAGGTGCTAAAAGGAAAGTACTCAGTCATATAGAAATAAATTACCATGCAATCAAAAGGAAATTATTGCATACATGTTTGCTTATATGGAAAGGAAATTAGTGCATGCATGCAAAGATCTTATATGGAAACACGGCCAGAGTATTATGGAAAGGCAATCACGCCATGCATGAAGAGGTCTAATCGGGTTTAACCCGTTAGTATGTCTATAATACTCTGATTTGAGTAGCACGGATCTCAAAGCACGTATACGGTGGATTTTATTGGAGCCCCTCCATGTAGCACCAGTTAATTTACCTATATATATATATATATATATATATATATATATATATATATATATATATATATTGCTACGTAGCGCCACACACAAGCGCTGCGTGCCATGGAAATATATGACGCCACTCACAACGAGAAAAGACTGCCCACCAAACCAAACCAACAGACTGTGGAGTTAAAAAAATAACTTGTGAAAAACGTTGCGCAACGTGAAGCAACGAACCCTCGCCCACCGGACCAAACAAAGCTGAATGCGAAGTTAAATTTTAACTAATACTATGTTGAGTGATGCGCTGCAGTGATTTCGTTGTCGAGTTAAAATTTTACCTATGTTTCAGCTATATGAATGAGTCGCCATTAACTTAAATTACGGGTTGGTGGTTATGTAGTTAAAAATTAAAAATTTACTGGTAGACGATGATCGCTGATGAAAAATAACTATTTTGTAGATTCTTTTTTTTATGGATGTGTGTTGTTTCTCATGACAAGGAATGCGAGTTAAATTTTAATTTATCGTAAACTGGTATGAGTAGATGAAAAACTTTGAGACATTAGGCGGTGGTGGCGATGTGTGACGTAATACAAACTTTATTATTAGAATTTTATTGTTTTGATGCACATCTCCCCAGAAAATTACGTCGATGGAAATTAACTGATAATTAATTCACCGGATAGAAATCAACTCCATGTCGCCGGATCCGCCGGTCCAGAAACTACGAAATCCTAGCGTGCATTGATTTGGCGTTAATTTGATAAGCTTTTAGAGGAGGCCCCGGAATAAGCGGATTTTTTTTCATGCGATACATCCTGTTGTTGTGGATAATGAACAGAGTCCTAGATCCGAAAATAATGCTTGTACACCTAAATTTAGTTTTCTCTCCACAGGGAATGGAATTTCTGTTTCTTTTAGGTATGGTCAGATTCAATTCTCGTACATCATTTAGTTACTTTTACCGACAAATTACATATAGTAAATATTTTACTCCAAACATTACATATAGTAATTTTTTAATTGTCAATATACTGATATGGAGATTGCATTTTTATTTTTTGCAAGATGTCCGGATGCATCTAATCATATAGGAATCACATGTATTAGAAACTAATTACACACAAATAATGCAATAACACATCGGAGAGATCAAATAACAGGACAACGTCCAACTAAAATCAGGAAAAATAATTGATTGATGGTGTTGTTGATCCTGGCAGCTTTCTTCTCCTTCTGGATCCGTCGAATGAAAAAGGTGGCTCTTGGTGGTTTCCATATTGAGAACGGAAACAACGGGCGGTGGCCGCTTCTTCCACCGGTGAAGAAGATGAAAATGGAAAACTCGGAGAGAGGCATGCTCGGTGCCTCCGTCTCCATGGATGCCCGCCACTGCTCCATGGATGCCGGAGGACAAGCTCACCGCCGCAATGGTCGCTGCCGTCTCGCCTCTTGCCCATAGTCTTCACCCTTGCAGGTCCACACGGGAGGAAGGGGGCGCTGGATCTGTGGACGCGCAGCCCACAACCGCGCCGGATCCGTGCCGCCGTAGCCGGATCCGCGCGCATGGGGCGCAGAGTGGTGGCCAAATCCGCCGCCGCATCGCCTCCCGCCCACAGTCACCCGTCGACGCCGCACATGCCAACATCGCGCCCGTCCTCGCACCCCGGCACCACTGGATCCGCCGCTCCTCCTCCTCGTCACTCCTCTCATCCCCCAACCACCACCGCTGCTCCTCCTCGTCACCAAGCCATCACCGGAACCACCTCGCTGCCACTCCTCATCCCCTAATCGCCGTCGCCGTTCCTCCTCTCTGCACAAGGAATCACAAGTCATCGCTGATCCGTAAAATGTGGAGAGGAAGAGGAAAGAGTGGGTGGACGGTTTCTATGATGGGAATCCGTAATATATATATATATACACACACACACACACCAGATAGAGTCAGTATGTCGAGTTAAAATTTAACAGTGTGGTATGCATCAGATCGAGTGCGCGTGGGGTGGGTAGCTGAGTTAAAATTTAACTGTGTGGTATGCACCAGATCGAGTGCGCGTGGGGGACGGGTTGGGTTGTGGGTCGCAGAGTTAAAATTTAACTTGCGTGTGGGGTGGGTGGTTGAGTTAACAGTTAACTGTGTAGCTTGCACCAGATCGAGTTCGTGTGGGGGTGGCGGGGTGGTGGGTCGTTGAGTTAAAAATTAACTACGTGGTCTATTTAAATTGAATGTGTGGGCGTGGGGAGGGGGGTTGATTGTGTCAGGCGCCATCTAATACGTGGTGCCTGTAGCGCCATATAGTAGTTATATATATATATATATATATATATATATATATATATATAGCTAGAGTTTAATATGTTATTTTGTTACAACCTGTAGATGTCGAATTTGAATTTGTATATTTGTAGAGTGATATATTACATATTAATCTATCTTGTTATTTTTTTAATTTTTTTCATAATTATCTATTATATTATTAAAACAGCTTTGAAAGGAGGCACCACGTTCGCTGTGGGGGCTAGAAATTCCCACATTAATCGGAGAAAAAGAAAAGGAGAGTCCAAATAGAAATACAGTTTAAAAATAGCTGAAATTCGAAATTAAAAATAAGCAATATGGAAAGAAGAGTCCGTATAAGAACCTAATACGAGATTAATCAAAATCTAGAATAAAAATAAAATAAAATCTGAAATTAGAAAAGAATAGGAGAGTCCAACTAGGAATACAATTTAAAACAACTGAAATTCGAAATTAAAAATAAAGAATATTGAGAGAAGAATCCGTATAAAAACCCAATACGAGATTAATTAATATTCGGAATAAAAATAAAAATAAAATCTGAAATCAGCAAAAAAGAAAAGAAGAGTTCAAGTAGGAAACAGTTTAAAATTAACTGAAATTCGGAATTAAAAATAAGAAATATTGAAAGAAGAATCCATATAAGAACCCAATACAAGATTAATTAAAATTCAGAATAAAAAATAAAATAATATCCAAAATTAGAAAACTAAAAGAGAGTTCAAAGTAGGAATATAATTTTGAAACACCTGAAATTCAAAAATAAAAATATAAAAATATTAAAAGAAAAAAGATTTTTTAAAAATAAATTCTGAAATTATAAAAAGAAAAAATATTTTAATTAGGAATAAATTTATAAATAACTAAAATTGGTGATAAAAAATAAAGACTATTGAAAGAAAAGACCATCTAAAACACATAACGAGATAAATTAAGTAACATGCCTATAAAGAAATAGAGTGGTAGCGGTTGATACTACATATAAAAATTGTTAATAAAACACCAAATAGAATCCTAATGACGATTAAAAGGAGGGACGACAGGCAGGCCGTGAAGTAAACGAGCAAGGCGATTGCCGGGACTTCTAGAAAGTAAAAAAATAAACCCCATTATAATCTTATTCGGTTTTTAAAATCTCAATAACAATAAAAAGGAGAAGCAGCGGGCGGGATGTATAAGAGTATAGTTGCAGAGCAGCCGATGGTTAGCGGGACCTCTAGAAAATAAAAAAATGAATTCCAACTATAGTTATGTTCGATTTGTGGAATCCCAATGACAATAAAGAGTAGGTAGCGGATGGGCCATAGAGGAGTATACTGGCATCGTTTGACGGGACTTCTAAAAGTTAAAACCTAACAAGACAATAAACTCTAAAAACTACAAGGTCCAATTAAGGTTCAGAACTTCTAAAAAGTAAAAAAAAAACTAATGATAATCATGTTCAATTTTAAAATCTCAATGACAATAAAAAAGGGAGACAACAGGCGAGCCATAAAGGAGTACAATGGCAAAGCCGCTGAAAGTTTGGTGGGACTTTTAGAAAATAAAAAATGAACTCAAATGATAGTTATGTTCGATTTTTAAAATCCCAATAATAATAAAGAGAAAAGACAGTGGACAGGCCGTAGAGAAGTATAATGACAGCGTTTGGCGGGACTTTAGAAATTATAAAAACGAAACCCAGTGAGACAATAACCTCTAAAAACTAAGATCCAATTTTTAAAGGTTTCAAAGAGAATGAATAAAAATAGTGGTAGATCGAGTAAGCAAGTAAAAAAGGATATGATTGAAGTAAGGGGTAGCAGCTGGTGTGACTTTTAAAAATTATATAATTAGAAATACGGGGATGATAATGTTTGGTCTTTCAAAGTCTTAATACAATGAGATAACTATTTAATAAATTTTAAGTAAAATCATACTGAAAAATATTGTTTGGTTGCTAGCCACGCAATTGTGCGGGCCACCCAGCTAGTTTAGTTAGTATACGAGAGAAACGGGTGGACGTAACAACAGGAGATTAGAACCCATCTCCCGGGTGTATACCCACGGGGCCCAGGTACGTTTTTTTTTTTTTTGAACTTAAACACTTTATTACCACTCAAAAGCATAGAACATGCTGAATTACAAAGTTCGTGAGGTTGAAATTGTCTCTAATGTTATTTGCATGACATCCTGTATTGGGATAAGCCAGGTGAGAAATGCTTTGACAGACATAAACAGTGGAAGAGGGTCGATTAGATTTTGCTTCTTCTGCTAGTCTGTCTGCTAATTTATTTATCTCCTCTCGGAATCCAAATATCCAATTGACCTGCAAAAGACTTTCTGGAACTCTTGTGCAAATTTGGCTCCATGTAGGCTTCACACTCCAATGGCCTGGCTCCAAATCTAAGTTTCTTGTTTTGATAGTGTCAGCAATTGTTGCATCATCCGTACTGAGAAAAGCTGTTCCTGCAAATGATTAAGAACATGGCCAAGAACAGGTACGGTAGGTTACACACCAACAGCATCCGGATCGTCTCCGGCGAGCTCTGGTCTGTGGAGCTTGTCGGCCAACACCTCCATGCCCATCCGGTGAAGCAGGAGCCAAACGACGGTGAGGAACTCCTGGCCGCTGACACCCAAGCTCTTCAAGTGTAGAGACCCGCTGCATCTGCTCGCGGAGTAGCATATCATCTCCACCCACACCCCGCCGATCACCCTCAGCCTCTTGCCGGCATCCAGCTTCATCATCGCGCCGGCGAGCCGCCGTGCGTGCGCTAGATGGCGGCCTCCTCCTCCTCTCCTCTCGAGAAGCCTGCTGCCAGCTCCGGCTTGCTCCTCCGTGGCCGGGGTGGAGTACTCGTCGTCGTCGCCGCCGGCGAGGCATCGCGCAAGGTCTCTCTCGCTGGGCTGTTGCTGATGCCGCCCCTGGTGTCTCAAGGCGTGCACGATCTCATGGTGGGCCGCCATGAACAGGCTTTGTCTGGTGCCGAGCATCAGCATGTCTGGCTGGTACGCCAGCAGGTACATCATGTAGTTGGATATCTCCATCACGGCGGTGACCTCGTCGGCGCTGGCAGCCGGTGACGATGAGATGTCGATGTCTTCCGTGCAATGGAGGCATATGTCCGTGGCGATGTGCCAGATGAGGACAGCCTCGTCGAACGGTAGCTTGGCCACGCTCCATCCCATCTCTCCGTAGCACTGCTCCCGCCGGAGAGTCCACTGGCCTCGCCGGTCATTGAATCTCCGGTAGGCGGCGGCGCTGCGCAGATCATCCTCCACCCACCCAGATCTCAGGTCCTCGCGGATGAGATCTACGGCTTTTTCAGTCGACGAACTATGCTCAACATGATACCAGTAGTGCTGGTTGTTGCATCTCAAAAACATGGCTACTCTACTCAACACTGTTTGACACGTATGAATGAGAGGATATCTTCTCGAGAGATTAGAATCCATTTCCCTTGGCCATCGGCTGTGGGAAGCGCAGCCGATGAGGCTGAACTGCGCGATAGTGTGCTTTATTTGTGGTTCTAGCTTGCACACCGGCCACTTATGGTAGCGCAGCGAAATCATGTTACTGAATTCCACTACGAATTCAGAGTATAGAAGGATGTAGGTTACCTTGACATCGTTGGCGTCGAGCCCGTCTATGTTGCTGTCAAGCCCGTCAAAGCCTCCGATGGCCGTGGAGGCCAGCATGAAAAAGATGAACCGCAGGAATACGAACCAGATGGCGAAGGGGTAGGCGGCGTTTCTGCTGGTGTAGAAGATCTGGAACGCATAATCCACGAGGTCGCAAAGCCGGCAGTATGCATCGTAGGGTTCGAGCTTCAAGAACAACGAGAGGTAGCTAAGCCGGCTAGTGTAGGTATTTGGGAAATCAATGAAGAGCTCCATGAGGTCGTTCTGATACTCGAGATCTATGAGGTCCAGCTGCAGCTCACTGGTGGCGCTACGATGGCGGCGAGCCGCCGAACGATTCTCGCCGCCGCCGCCGTCGCCGTCGTCGTTCGTCTGAATGTTCCTGGTGGCTTCGATGGCGGATTTACTCGCCCACTGCAGGTATCTCTCTAACGACCAGTTGGCCTCTACCGCCGCCGCCTTCCGGCCGACGGTTGCTATCCTCGTAGCGCTGGCTCGCCGCAGAGCCCAGAGCATGAGACCCATCTTGAGGAACCCGGTGACGAACAGCGCCACCGGGCAGCGCGCCGGCACCTTCCCGCCGGACCATGACCTGCAGAACACGTAGACGGCCACCGCGGCCTGGGACGACATGGCCACCGCGCGCCGCGCCCACAGCGCGTTGTCCTCGGCGGCGTCGTACGCGGTTATGCTGTCCTGCGCCCCGGCGAGGTGGATCAGGAAGACGGGCGCCCACAGCACCTCCAGCATGGAAGATTCCCCGCGGCCGCCGTCGTCGCCGGCGTTCTTCCCGTGTCGGCTGAAGATGGCGGCGAGGCCGTAGATCGCCACGGCGTCGCTGCCGAGGTAGGCCAGCCAGATGGATGCCCTGAGGATCGCCGGGATCCGGTGCTTGCGGAAGGTGGCCGAGAAGAAGAGGAAGCACTGGAGGAAGAGGCTGGTGAGAACGAGCACGCGCAGCTGCCATTCTTCCCACCACTGCACCATCGTCCCGGCCGGCTCTACCATTCTTCCATTGGAGGAAGGTGGCAAGGATGCTACTGCCATCGTCTTCCTCTTGATCTTTATTGCTCTCGTCTTCCTCCTCTCCGGTCAATGCCTCTTTCCTCGATCTTCGATCGCATATGGTCGCTTGAGTGCCTCGTACATGCAGTCTGTGCCCACGCGCTATATATATGGTCGTTGCTGGCCACGTGAAAATTTGTGCATCAGACTATACAAAACGATGGGCGCGTTGCTGGTTCTCGATCGATCGTAGCTACTACTAGTGCTGTTTTATATGTAAAGCATAGTAAATTACTAATATACTACCCAATTTGTAACGTGGGTTGACATTCTCTATTTCTCCTTTGTGTATGATAATAGTCAATAGAGCATAGTATGTGAACGATGCAAACAAAGTGAATCCACTATAATTCTAGAAACTCCATTGTATATCATCGTGCTTCTTAGCTGAACTGCCATCACTACTACAAAAGTGATTTTTCTATACGAGACCCTATAATTTTTATAAACGGACCATGACTAGTGACGTCTGTAAAAATCGAGCGGTATTTTCACAGACGGCTCCTTAATGCGCCCGTACGGAAAAATCGATTTTCTCATACGGGACTCTTAAGAGGTCCGCATGTAAAAATGACCTCATTTTTGCATGCGGCTCACTTAAGCACCCGCATGGAAAAATCGATTTTTACATACGGGCGTCTTAAGGAGCTGTATACGAAAATAAAATTTGGAAAAATTTAAAACTAGTGTATCTTACTCATATGAACTCTAAATTGGATGATTCTTTTTTCATAAATGTTTCTAAAATCATGCTCTATCACATTATTGTGTTTTTACTGTTATTATTTTGGCCATTTCTTGTTGTGACTTTGTTTTATCAATTAAAAATTTGAATTTTAAAACTTCAAATAATATTATGAAGCAGTAAATGATTTCAGCTGAAAAAGTATAACTCATCAAGATTTATAACTTCTATTTTGGTCATTTCTTCATCCAACAAAGTGATAGTAACATTTTCACAAAATTTACAGTTTATAAAACTATATTAGAGATATGTACATTTTGTGAACAATTTTACAAATCACTTTGTGGGATGAAGAAATGACCAAAATAGAAGTTATATATATTGATGAGTTATACAACTTTGTTATTGATGACTTTTTCAGTTGAAATCATTTAGTATTTAAAAATATTGTTTGAAGTTGTCATAATTTGAAATTATAATTCAGATTGTTCAAACAAAGTCATATAGAAAAATAAAAACAACAAAAGTTATAGATCTTGATAAGTTATACAACTTTGTTGTTGACAACTTTTCCATTTGAAATCATTTACTACCCAAAAAATTATTTGAATTGCTTATATTTTTAAATCTCAAATTTTATATAGTTCAATCAAACTCGGATGGAGAAATGACCAAAATAAAATTGGTAGATCTCAACGAGTTCTACAACTTTGTTTTTGGTAACTTTTTCATATGAGTTCATTTACTATCATAAAATTTTATTCGAAATTCATTTAGTGGTTTTTTCCCTACTCGCCACCTTAAAATTTTTCAATCTTCTCCTCTCTTCTCTCCCACCACGAATATTTTCCCCTCTCTTCCTTCAACTCTATCTCTCTCTCATTCTCTCCTCAACCTCTCCCTCTCTCTTTCTCTCGCGCATGCAGGCAGCGCCGGGCAGCGGGAGGCACGGCTGATGACGAGGCGCTGGGAGCGGGCGCCCGCCACCGCCACGGCCTCCGGGAGCGGGAGCGGACGCTGTCGCGGGCGTCCACACATCCTCCCTAACTGCCGGAACGACCTCGCCGCCGCAGACGACGCTGCGGGCGAACTCTCCTCTGCCCTCGCTGCCGCGGGCGTCCACGCCTCCTCCCTCGCCACCGCGGTTGACCACGCCGACGTCGACGGCGACGGCAACGGCGAGAGCGGTGGCGGCTCGCTCGGGAGAGGCCGGGACTTGTGGATCCAGCCGAGGCGAGCGACGGCGAGAGCGGCGATGGCTGGCTCGGGAGCGGCAAAGCGGTGGCGGCGGCGGATCTGGTGTCGGGCCCTGCAATGGCGTGGATCTGGCTCGTCCGGCGGCCGGCCGCGGTGGCGCGGATCCAGCGTGGGCGGCGGCCGGCGACCGGCTAGGGTTTCGCCTTTTTTTGGATTTTTATTTTTTTTTTGCCAAAAATATCTTTGCATGCGGTTGGCTCAGGGAACCGCATGCAAAAATCACATTTTCGCATGCGGTTGCTCTAGCCACATGGGAAAATAGCGATTTTCGCAGACCTTTCCTCCCATACGGGCTGGCCAACCGCATAGGAAAACCGATTTGGCTCTTCTTTGTAGTAGTGCATCTTCCTCTTGATCTTTGCTGATGTCGTACGTCTTCCTCCTCTCCGGCCAATGCCTCTTAGGTGCTGCACCGTATAATTACTTGTTGCATATATATGGTTGCTTGATTGTCTAGTACGTGCAGTCTGTGCGCACGCGCTATATATATGGTTGTCGGTAGGCACGTGAAAAATTGTACTCCCTCCATTTTTAAATATTTATTAACATCGTTGACTTTTTAGCACATGTTTGACCGTTCATCTTATTAAAAACATTTTTGTGAAATATGTAAAACTATATGTATACATATAAGTATATTTAACAATGATAAAAAAGAATTAATAATTACTTTTTTTAATAAGACGAACGGTCCAACATATTTAAAAAAGCAAGAGGCGTCAAATATTTAGAAACGGAGGAAGTATACGAAATGATGGACGCGTTGCTGGTTCATGATCGTAGCTACTACTAGACTCCTAATACCGTTTTATATCTCTAGTGCTTAAAAAATCCGTAGTGGTGATCTTGATTCCTGACACAGCAGACGCATCTGACAAACACGCGTAATCTCAACCATCACGTCACGGATAGATCTCCTCCCAACGCCCACTCCTCCTTCCTCCACACCGCGTCTTTCGCTCTCCTCCCTGCGTCGCCTCCTCACCCCGCCGCCGCGTTGCCTCCTCACCAGCCACGCCCGCCGGCCTCCTCTCCAGACCCATGATCGCCGCCGCCCTCTCCAATCAATGACGGTGACTCCAACCTGACACAAGATTGGATCGCCCCTCCCCACCGCGCTGCTCCTCCCTCCTCAGTCCTCACCTCATCCTCCACCGCTCCCGACCCTTCCGCTCCACACCCGATTCTCCACCGCCGCCGTTCTCCTCTACCCTCTCAGCTGCCGCCACCGCCAGGGAGGTGACTCCCCCATCGAACCACGTCCCCAGGACACCGACGCCCGCCTCGTTGATCCCCTCCCATCTTTCGCCGCTCCCCTCGCCCTCCTCCATGCCGTCCGCGCCACCCACGATCTCTGCCTCGATGACCGACAGCCGCCCACGATCTCCGCCTCGATGACCAACTATGCGCCACCATTCCTCGCAACTCCCTCTAGTCCTCCTCCGCGTCGCCCCCGATCTCTCCTCGACCGTCTCTGTGCCACCGCCACCACCTGTCTCCGCCGAGCGCTGTTGTTCCCTCCGCCGCCCCACGCAGACCACTGCTGTGCCAGGCGCTTCAAGCTCCACCGCCACCCCTCCGCCGCCGCCCCCTTCTCCACCAGATCCCTCTCCACCGCGGCACTGCACTATATCATGCCGGAGATACCAAGCCCTCGACAACACCATTAAAATCCTATCTTGTTCATCTGCAGAGATGATGCTCAAAATTAATCAAAAGATAGATAAATTTTCCTTAATTGCAATTGGCAGGGCTCCTTCCTTTCCCCTCGAAAAAAAAGTTAAATTCTCCTCAGAAAATCACCTCTTTTTAGTGACACAAAGTTAAATTCCTGAGAATCATATATTTTTTTTAGATAATGGAATTTATCATCCCAGCCTTTGCTCAAAAAGAGCTACAGCCAATTATTACATTGTAGCAATCCAGAAAAGAGCGTAGTTTAGCTAAATAGGATACACCAAACAAAAACAGAAGAAACCAAGCCAAAATAAGGAGAACACATTTATTGAAGTCTATTTGTGAACCTCCATCTATAATTGGCAAATAGTTGCATAACCATCGACTCCAACTTGCGGCATGCAACCTTTAGGAACTCCCCATCATCCTCACACCTTTGTAACTGTGCCCAAAACCGGAGCCAGTGCGTTGCCCTGAAAATTACCTGCATATATGAAATAGATGGTGAGAATCATATATGACAGGGAGATGGCTTTCCATCCCTCAAGGAGACATTCTCTCATTCTTGCATACCACCTAAATAGTCATAATTTTTTTAGGAAAATATTGACAACATAGATTAATATAAAATATAGAGTAAATTTCACAAAACTACATATACTCTGACCAAACTATCACAAAACTATAGATTTAAAAATATATATCACAAAACTACAGATTTAGTAACGAAGTTATCAAATATTATATTCATTGCCATTCATTGCCATATTGAGGTTATAAAAGTTGTAGTTTTGTGATGAAATTGATGTTAAATATGTAGTTTTCTGATATCATATTTTAAATATGTAGTTTTTGTGGAAAATATAATTTTAAATCTCTAGTTTTGTGATACACTTTCGTAAATATGTAGTTTTGTGATATATGTAGTATTGTGAAATTTACTTTAAAGTATATTACTCCACAAACATGCAAACCTAAATTTCACCTCTACAAGTTAAAAAAAACAAATAAAAATGAAAATAATTAACATATATTTACAATTATATGTGTTATTTTTGTTATAACCTGTTGAAGTTAAATTTGAATTTGCATATTTGTGTAGTGATATATTTAATATTAATCTATCTTGTTTAGTTTTATAAGAAAATTATGAAGAATTAGATAACATGTAAAAAACGAGGGGGTATTTGCTCGATAGGATGAAAAACACTTTCCCTAAATGATGAAGATACTACTACTCCTACAATCACAAGCTGCTACAAACATGTCCTTAAATGTCTTTTAAAGAAAACATGTTCGAGAAGGATCAATACCGAGATTGGTCTCGCAGGAGGAACCATCGCCGTCGGCTGCTACACTATCA